TGGTCTATAATTGTGTAATAATGACATATAGCACTCTTTGTCTTAACACTATGACTAAGAAAATCCCCAAAGGGCAGGATCTCATTTGAGCTGGTGGTCCTGGGGCACCAGTTCTAATTGTCCTATTTCACTTTTTGCAGTAAAAAAAGTAAATGGAAACTACTAGTACTACTACCAGACTGGGATCAAGCCAATCTGAGTAGCTATAAGTCTAAGTCTATAGTAGAGAGTCTTTCGAAGTTTCCAGGAGTCTGGAACCAGTAGCGGCTCCCCCAACTGGGATCAAAGTTCACAGCGTCATAGTCAGAGTGGTCATTTGACACAGTTGCTGGGTTTTTTCCTCTGTGTAGGAATCCTACCAGGTCCTACACGATGAGAATGTCAGAATTCAGCTAAAATGGACAAAAACTTGAAAACAGCAACAACAGGCCTGTGAGCAGGGAAAACAAGTGGCAAAAGCCTCTTCCTTGCTGTGGTGAATGCACCAAATCCAGCACATACTCACATGTTCCTACTGGAAAGGTGTCTAGTTGTAGCTGTTTGGGGGCAGGAAGGAGCTGTGTGAGCTGTGCTTGCATAAATCAGTGCAAGAACAAGCAACCGATGCTTGCAGTGGCAACAGCCGCAACTCACATTGATTCTTTCTTCTGGAGACCCCCATCCCCCCTCTGCATTGCCAATCTTAATCTAAGGGATCCATACCCAAAGGGGCTGATCCAGCAGCTTTTGGACCCCCTCCAGGGACTCCAGGACAAGGGGAGGACAACAACAACAACAACAACAACAACAAGCTATATTTAAGATGGGTTCACTGAATATGGTTTCGTTGTTTCTTGACAGCTATCGTATAGAGCTGGCCAGCAGATCTATGCTACAGCCATAGATTACGGGCTTTCTTTTTGCGTGTAATGACTACTTTCACTAAAAAAATATATACATACAAAATCCATGTGCTCAGGACCACTTGAATTTTTGAATCCCACATTTGTGCTGAACCGACAATTTTGGATTCAGACACATGCAAATTGCTTAATCAAAGTAGTCATTACATGGTAATTTGATGGCCGGTTATCCATGCACCATACAAAATACACGTAGAGAGTTAACTAAGGGTCAACTCACTCAAACAGCTATAACTTGGTCCCCAACGGACAATTAACAATGATAAGCACATGAATCAAATCCCAGTAAAAAGACAAATTCAGTGATATGGGGGTTATGGGGGGGGGGGGGGTATTGAGTATTTAATTATATTACTGTACGTGTATCAAGAATTAAAAATGTACAATTAAATTCTTGGCTGGAAAAACGTGGCCAAGCCTATACAATTTGTATATACACAAGTTTTAAATATATATCACCCTGGACCAGGCACACAATCCCACATCTTCTCAAGTAAGCACTTGTCAACACCCAGTAGTGAACAAGAATGCTGCTTTTCATTGCTCTTTTTCAAGCTTCATGTGCTAGTTCTTGTTAATTTTAGAAAGTAAATTAGTAGCACAGATAATTTCAAGTTTAGTCAACCTAGCAAATTGCAAAGCACCAGTAAGCAGTAAGCAAGACCAGGAGGACCAAATGTAAGCAAGAAGCAAGAATGGTATCATAAAAGTGTTGCTCAGAGCTTAGTGCAACTGAGACTTGCCTTTGCCTCAACACCAACCAAAGAGTGGAGCAAAGCAAGCACACCAAGAGAAGGATCATCTTCTATTTTACAACCATTTGCCTCTAGTAGCAAAGAAAATTGCCTGCTTCAGGCCAATTTGTGAGAGTGGGTTGGAAAGCATTCAAATTCGCCCAAAGATACTTGAATATAGCTGGAACTGAAGGTTGGAGTCCTGTTGACAAACCTGGATCAGTTTTTCATTGGATGTATTCCAACCACATCAGGGAGATCATCAAAGAAGAAGGTAGGAGGTGGAAGATTGCCAAGGTAAGATGCTTGTTTACCTCCATAGTATTATTCATGATTGTTTGCTCTTCTCATGGATGCACTCATTGCTTTTTTTTTAGATAAAAATGTCCTTGTTGGCTCAAGATCTACAAAACAGAGGAATAAGATTGCATGATCCATTTGAAGATCACCGGAAGAGAAGAGTTGATTTACAAGAAGCAGTAGCAGAAGTTTTTGAAGCAGTTGCTGTAGACAAAGAAGAAGCAGTTGACACAGACAAAGAAGAAAAAGATGCCTATTATGATTCCTTTCCATCTCCTCAAAAACTGAATCAGAAGAAAAAGAGTTTGTGACCCCCATGAAAGACTTCCCTTGGCTAGGTCTAAAGCTAGGAATAAGACTCGTCCCTCCAGCGTTGATGATGGTTATCATGTGCGCTATGAAGATTAACTCTGCAGCTGGGAACCTTATTGGTGGAGTTGCAGCCCCCCACCCTTGCCAGACCAATGCTTACCATACATCAGGAGCAACAGGATGATGAGATTTGTGATATGGTGGGCTTGATTGCAATGGGTCTTGATCCCACCACTGAGCTTCATAATCTTCAGCTTAGTTGGGTTGCTGATAAGAGACACTTCAAGATTAGAATCAAGTGGCCACCATATCTGGGGAAATACTAATGTTTTGCAGAGATGGATAAAGATGCAAATAGAGTCTCTATCTTTCCAAGACTCCGTGCCTCTGAGATTGGAATGGGGAATAAAAACAAACTCAAGAATGATAATGGAGAGATCTTTGAGGAGTATTATCTATTTCCCTGGGAAGGACACGGATACCCTTCTTGTTGAGCCAAAGATTCTCTATGGAAGGACCGAAGGAAACAAAGGACAAGGTGTCCAATGGATACCAATAGCCCATCATCCAGTAAGAAGCAGTCCTCTACAATCAATCCAAGGACTGTCCCTCTCCCTGCTTCTCCCTTCAGTGGTATGTGCCAACCAAGGGATGAATTTGTTACAGGCTTGTTCAGACCAACCCCAACTTCCCACTCATTCCAGAGGACAAAAAGATCACGCAGACACTTACGCAGCTCTGTAGGACCCTCATCAGCTCCAGCAGTCAACAATGCAGTGTTTGTTGCAGTTTTTGTTGCTGCTTCTGGTTGGCAACAAACACTGGGAGCCATTGCAGCTCTTTGAGACAATGGTATGGCTTGGCTGAGCTTCCTGTTGAACTTTGCTTAATTTGCTGTTTGTCTGTTCTTGACATCATTGATTTGATTGGCAGTAGAGAGTGGAAGAGCTTGGAGAAACATTGCAATTGAGTCCTTCTAATGCCAAGGCAACCACCTCCAACAGCTTGAGGGTTGTCAGGATCAGCTAGCTCATCAAAGTGTACTTGCCCTCCTATTTCATTAGCAATAGTCTCCACTCTTCCAATAGGCTTGATATTATCATCATCCAGTGTGCTTCTATTTGCTTGCTGGAAGCTAAGCTGTACATAAAAAGGAACAACAACATCTCTCTTTTTATCATCTAGCAACAAGCCACTTGATTCCATAGCAGGCTCAAAACAGGCCCATAGCAATGCATTTCCTAGAATTGCTGCAAGTGGATCAGCAAAGACATTTGCAATTGCTGGTGTTACTGAAGAACAAATCCACCCATCTGTAACCAAGAAGGTTCCTTCCACTGGCTTGTAGTAACAAATGACTCCAAAGCAAAGCTTTGACACAACAATATTAATGTCAGGCCAAGCAAGCTGTGTAGTATCAGTATACCAAGAATCCTGTTGCCAACACAACTTCCATCTAGCCCTACAATCAATATCATTTCTTGTTGTCCCTCTATGCTATCTTGCATAGGTTGTTGTAAACTTTCTAATTGAATGAGTACCAAGTTGACTGCAGGTGTTTCAGCAACAACAAAGAAGAAGACCTCATTCTTAAATGTATAACATTTCATAAAATTAGAATAGTTATTCTTTCCCTTTGTAATTTCTTTGTCCATAGAAGTAACAGTTGATCTCCTATCACTACTAACACCTTCAGTGAACAGTCACTGTCTAGACGCTCCAATGCCTCCTCCTCACTGGGTAACACCATTTCTCTAGGAATAGAGGAGCACAAGCAAGTACTACACATAAATTGTGGTCCATCAATCCTAGCAAGAAGATCTATCTTGGACAATAGTGTTCCTCTGCAACATTCTTCTTTGACCATTTCATAATTACTGGTGTAAGGAATAGGGGAAACTTGGTTGATTGTTTCAAGCTGCATTTTCCAACATGTGCTGTATCATCACTTCAACCAATCAAATGGAACTGGAATTTGATCATTGCTAGATATCAAAGTCTATTGATCAGGGCTCTATGGCATCCCATTACCTATGGTGTCTAGTGTCTGTAGTAACTCATTCTTTGTTAGCAGTTGATCCATGGTGCTGCTCTCATTGTTTCCAACTCAAGTCCTCATGTTTCCTGCTTCTTACTACTAGTAATAACAAGCTGGTGTGATTAGATCATTCATCTGCTGTGACTTGTAGGATTGTTGCCACTTCTGATAGCTTGAATCATAGTCCATTTGTGTAGATTGTTAGGCATGAAACATGACATTGGTGCCTTGTAGTAGACCAGGGATGTCATGAAGCTCTGCTTGTTTCTGTACTACTAGCTAGTAGGATTAGTACTCCTCCTACTACTACTAGTAGTACTATCACCATTGACATACAGATCTTTGCGTCCATTCACTTTCTTTGTAGATATCATATGGCTTTTAGATGGCTCAGTTTCTCAGCCATGAACAGTTCATTGCCAGGGTATCGATGATCTCCATCTGGTCCACAATGATCCAATCTTCCTGTAAACTGATGGGTGCAAAATAGGTAGTTGTACTGTACGTGGTACTGATATGCGCCCTAATACAATGCGTACCGGTACAGGGTGCGCCAAAAACATGTACCGTCCAGTATCCCTTCCCTCTCACAAAATCAGGGTTTTGGTGCACCCAAAAAATTTAACGGCTCGTGCAGTTTTTTCATTTTACGTACTCACTCGAATGGATCAAAGTCTCGATTATCAGCATGTACGAACCTGCATCATAATTTAGAAGATTGCAAGAACATGCAATAATTCCAAGGAGTACGAGAACGAATCGATAAAATAACTTTTCACAACATTAAAGGAAAGATTTGATGACATCCAAGATAATCAGAAACCGAATTTCTCAGGCAGCGTTATACATCCTGTTGGGCGTTGCCTTTGTCGCGTCATTGCCGTCGACCATCGAAGCTGCCAATGGTGTGCGTGGGCAACCATTGCGTCGACTTTCAGAAAGCAGAGTTAGGGGTGCAAGACAGCATCTAGGTACTATTAAAAAGGGCACCGAAGGATCGGGTGACAAACAAACCAGTAAACAGAAAGCAGGAAGAAACACTCCTTTGCTCAAAAATGTTCAACGACCAGTCGCAAAAGCATTTGACAAATTGAATATAAAAGGCGCCCTTCAGAAACCAGCAAAACCTGAGAAACAGTTACCAGAACCTGAGGTAACTAAGATTAACGTGAAGAAGGGGAGTGGAAGTTCGAGAAGACCCTCAAAGAATCCTGATGATCTGGTAGCAACTACCGAAATCGTTGAGAATGGCACGGAACACTTTACAGAAGGTGAGACATTTCAACGAAGGCGCTAGAAAAAGAAGATGAATCGAAATTCTAACGTGTCGATTTTATTTGCTCTTTCTCTTTCCAGTGAAGGTCGAAGTGTACCAAAGAGAACTCCCACCGCTTTCGATTAAATTTGAAATAGATCATTCTTCAACGAGCGGATCTCCCACGATGGGGGACTATAATGAATTATCTGATGTTGCCGAGGAGTACTTGGATGATTTTCTTACTAGTGTTTTTGAAGATGTGCCTGTCAGACACGACGGCACTAAATTATTCATCACTGTCAGCGACGAAGATCAATATACTGTCGAGTTCAAGCTCGTACTAGACTTTTTGATCCCAGGAGAGGTTCCAACGATTAAGTACGTTTTGTTTCTCGTTTTGTTAAAGGATGTGCTTATCAGAATACGGGTATAAAATCTTTACTCACAAGCAATGTTTCAATACGTGTGCTCCCTTGGTTTGGATTACACTATTATCAATTTCGCGACAGTTTCTTGATTGATCAACTACGTGAAGGACTCGAAACCGAAACTTCTCAACTGTTCTTCATCTCGAAATTAGAAACCATGAGCGAAACGAATCCTTTCAGTGGGACAGAAAAATATAATGTTGTCAGTCGTCCCCCAATGTCTGCTGCCGAAATTGCTGGAGAAGGAAGGAAACCACAAGTCAATACCGTCGAACATACTGGAAAGCATTATATATTGGCCTCTGTGCTGGCAGGAATGGGATGCGTTGTTCTCGTTGGTGCAGGATTATTATGGAGAAACAAGCATTCTGCAGAGAGCTCGACGCCAGTTTCCGGTCAGAAATTCTCGCTTTTCGACAAGTCAAGGAAAAACGATGATTCTAGTGGCGCTAATTCAACTGGATTGTACGGTGTTGACACAGAAACCATGTCTTATTTGAAAAGTCTTCGGTTACGATACAGCAAGGACCGTGATGACAAAACGCCATCCCTTTCCCCCAAGAGTAATATCGCGGCTGTTGAACAGACGGGATCGTATGACGACGGCGAGGAATCACTGTGCGATAGTGTCAATTCCGGATCAGGGCTTGAACGCGTAGACATTATGTAATTCATCGAATCTGAGATATTCACTAAACGAGAATTGGAGAATAAATTTCAGCTGATGTCAGTCGAATCGGCCATATCATTATTTGTATCACTGATGGCGTGTTACGTTTCTTGCCGATTGACAGCTTGGTGAGTACTGAAATTACATAAAATAATTGTAAGAATCTGTGAATAATAAGTAAAAACAATCGTTGCAAAATTTGAAATAGAAATACTTTATTTTGGATTTTGTACTATGAAATAGTAATGGTATCGAATGACTTATTAACTTTCTGAACGATAGGAAGGGAAAATCTCTTTAGCACCAGCAGGACTACAAGCAACACCAAAAGTAGGACGCATGAAAGAATTTTTTGAACTTTTCAGCCAACAATATTTTTTCTCTCATTGTCAAACAGCAAAATTGTTCAAATTTGGCTTCTTCACCTACCTCAACCCCAAAAACATTGCTCTTCCACCAATCATTTGAGGACTGGACTTGGAGAAGCAGAAAGCCAAGACTGAGAGCTTTAGCATGATTTTTGTTGTTATTGAGAATGCTCTTTTTTGTTCATAATGGGTCACTTGGAGGAGCCAATCATTTCTCCAGGCAATTTATTTCATGTGCTTCTTCAATTTGCCAGCAGTAGTGCAAGGAAGAATTGAGGAGAAAAAATAAAAAATGTGATTGTTTGGATATGTTCACACCATGTAATTTCATGCACAAATGTGTCCCCTGTTTTATTTTCATGTGTTAATTTTCACATTTGTTGACCTCTTCCTCCCATTTGACTCTGAATAAAAAAGTGTTCTTGATTCCTCCTCACTGACTCTCATGCATAGGATCCATCAGGGACCAGCAATCAACTGTCCTTGTACCTCAAATGACTCAGTGGTTAATGGAGGTGCACCAACGCAATGAAAGGGGAGGCCCTACAGCATGTTTCATTCTTGTGCCTGGTGGGACCTCTGTTGTTGTTGCTTCCACTGACAGGAGATCCATTGGTGACATTTTAGCAAGAACTTGACAAACAACCACCAGAGAATTGCACCAATTGTTCAGTATTATCTTTTGCAATGCCATAGAAGAAGTCCTAGTACTAGTACTAGCTAGTAGTGATAAAAGAAATTCTTGTAGTAGTACTACTACTAGCTATATTGAAGAAAATGGAGCTCCTCCAAAGGAACAAGAAGAAGCAGCTACTACTAGTACCTATGAGGTATCAACAATGAAAATTGCAAGGAAATTTGGAGCCAGTATTAAAAAGTGGTTCCTGTCAATTGGCCTACTAGTAGTGATGTGCAGACAAGAACTCTGGTCAGAAACACAACCTCTAATGTTCCGCACAAAGATCAGCCGATGGTGGGATCCCGTGAACCAAAAAAAATCAAGTCACGTGAAAGTGGAGGGGATTTGTTCACCAAGGAAAAATTGTGACTCGGCATCAATCGGTGATCGCTAGTAAAGAAGTACTGCGCTGTACGTACTATTACAAACAAGTACTGTAGTACGGTAGAGAAGCTGAGTGACGGTCATGTCAATTGAGGTGCGCGTTACTAACCTGTGATTCGAATTATTGAGCAAGCACCGGTCCGACCTTGCGGTGTTTCGCGACCATAACGCGTGCGCCATGAATTAATCACAAACGTTTTTTGTCACAGTTGGGGGGATAGTTTCGCATGAACAAACGTTCTCGTGACATCTTGTTTTTGATCGGTGCGCCCATATTTCAATACTGCACTCAATATTCCACGATTTCAACGGTTCCTCACCTTTTACCGACTGGATGCGAGGATGAAAATCACACAGTACTGAGCTTGTCGAAAGTAATCTATATTCATTTGAACGAAAGACTTTTTCTACGAAAAGAATTGACCTTATTCCATACAACTAGTTGACAATGGCGAGAGTGACATCAAAAGCGTTGTTGCTCGTTGCTTTGCTCGGCAGCTTGCAAACAGCTGCCTCTATCCATCGAGCCGGAGGGGTCAGAGAACTTTCTTTCCAGCATCCTATTGAGCCTCACCTTCCTCATCAAGGTGTCTCCAAGGGTACTGGCAGCAGTTTGCCAGTCAACAAGAGTGGGAAAAGTGCAAGGGATGACAGCGGTGATAGCCCATATTACTACGAATACCAAAAGCACGGGAAAAAGGAAAAGAAAGGAAAATCCTCCAAATCGGGAAAAAAAGAAAAACACTACTACAAACATAACAAATACGAAGTTGAGATGGAAGTTGTCGTGGACTATTCGAAAAGCACGAAAGGCGTTCCAAAATTTGAATTTATTGAAATTGGACACAAGTCTTGGAAGAGTTCAAAGGACTCTAAATCCGGAGGCGCAGGCAACGAAGGAGATGGAACTATGTATGCAAAGGATGCAAAGAGCTCAAAGGATGGCAAAAAACCTAAATCGTATGGTAGCAACGGAAACACCAACAAACAAACAAGTAAGTCATGACAAAAGGCTGGATGATTTATCACTCTCTACCATTTACTCGGACACTGACAATCTTTCTCTTTCTTTCCGTAAATTTGAATTATAGAGGCACCTAGTACCGTTTCATCTTATCCGGTTGCACCAACGTCATCAGCTGCGCCGTATTCGTCTCCTTCCACCCCCGTTCCTACAATGCTTGGATCATTCGGTGTGAAAATCCCGGAATATTCTCTTGCTTACAATCTTTTGACTACACTCGAGCCTACAAACAAAGAATTAAGTGAGCTGGAGGTTGCCACCACTTCGTATCTCGATGATTTTTTCGTGGACGAATTTGACAAAGATGATTTCACTGTTTTTGAAGTATTCACCACGGAAATTGTCGACAGTAGTACACAGGGCAAAGTGGTTGTCGTAAGTTTCGGTAAATCGGTTGCAAGATTTGACGGACTCTCGTTAATTGCACCTACCTCTGAACAATTGGATTCTGCAGTAGTTGAAGCCTTCACGGGGTTGCACATGATCCAATACGAAGATTGGTTGAAACAGATGCTGCCGTCGAACAATATCTTCATCGGTTCCAAAGTTCAATATCTTCAAGATGACGAAGGCATAGCGGACAAGGCTCGTCGTGGTATCGGTGCGACGGGAATTGCCGCTTCAGCTGTGGCATTCACGCTTCTTGTTGCCKGAGCTGTTCTCTACAAATCTAAATCAGGTGACAGAGAAGGCCAAACAGACAAACTGAACAAGGCTTCTGGTGATATGACTGTAGCTGGCGAGACGTTTGCAGGAGAGACATACGATGGCACATTTGCGGGTGATACATACGACGGTACAGCTTCGGTTTCTGCTGCGTCAATTGACTATGTAAGAAGATTTGATGGTGATGAAGAAGATGGAATGAAGAAAGATAATCTTGGTGCAATTCCTGAGAAGCCATGGGGCGATGATGACAGCGACGGTGAAAATGGAGAACCATATTCTGGCGGCGGTATTCCTGCCAACAAAACAGGAACTGCTTTCAGAAAGGGAGTTACTTCTGCTCCAAGAACTGCCTCGTTTGAAGACGTAGCTTTGCAGGCACCAGCATATGGCAGTGGATTTCGGCACAATATCATGCCGGATCCTTCGTCTTCAGAGGATGATCAGTCTCAAATGAGCGACTCTGAACTTTCACAGTTTGTAGCCTCAACGAGACAAGTCGGGACCCATATTTCAGGGGATAATACTCTAGAAATTAAGTCCCTCCTATCAATGGACTCCATGGATGACCACTCTTCTAGTGGCCTTTCTGTACGGGATAACTCTTCGAGAAGACTACGAACAGTTGCGGAGATTGAGGCCTTGCTATCTTCAGAACTCAATGACGATAACGGAGCTTCGAATACGGACGGCAAAGAACCAGAAACGAGTCGACCTCGAACAGTAGAAGAAATCGAGTCACTCCTGACTGCTGATGACGATGAGAGCATAGTCGAATCGCCATTTTCAGACGAAGATGAAAGCATTGTTGAGTGAAATTAACTCACCGGATGCAATGTTCTTCTGTCTGTCAGCTTGACACAAGGTCTCTACTACACAAACTATGGACGTATTCAATTTGATAATAAATGTATATCTGTATTGAACTAGTAAGTTTTTCTGATTTTGAACTAGTAAGTGTTTCTGATCAATATAAGGATCGTGTAAAAATGCATGGCAACCCAGGCAGTTACTACTAGTAGGAAGGTAATGTAATAACACCATTTCCTTTTCAGGGCGAGCGCCACTGGTGGTGTACTCCAAGCATGATGTCATTGGTGGTATGTGCATATTGAAATGAACCTTGATGCTTGTCCTTTATAAACAAGTCTGTGACTTCACTGATTTTGTGGAATACTAGTAGATGTGCAATAAAACTAGTAGTATGCAGGTTCTGATAAGTATCAGGCAATTGCTTGTATGTTGCTTATTGGTCCTCCTTGCTCTTCTTTTTGAATCCCTGAAAGATTTGCAATTGAAAAACCATATCAGCAGCTTGTTGTCTATTTAGTACTGGTACATTCAAGTCCACCAACCCAATATACATCAGACTCACATTGCATCAAAAAGGTCTAGAGCTTGTGAGAGAAAATCTATTCCAACCTTGGCATAAATAAGAAAAACGTAGCTCCAAGTTTTTTTTGTCACCTCCTCATTTTTACTGCATAATACTAGTAAATGTATCAGGCCTTTAGGCAGTTATAACTTAACCCCCTCTCCATTGGTATTTTTTTATCATAAAATAGTTTCCTGTGCACCCCTTGAAACAAGAAGGAGAAACAAAGAGAATTTTTCTCCTTGTTTGAAGGTCAATATTCTCATTGTTTCTCATTGTTATAACAAGGAGAAACTAAGAGAATATTGCCTCTCCTTGTTGTTTCTCTTTGTTTTCCATTGTTCAAATAAGGAGGAATACAGAGAATATTGCCTGGGCAATGTTTGCATTTTTTCTTTTTGTTTAAGCAACAGAGTGGATATAATCCAGGCATAATTCTTTCTGTTTTACACGGTGAAATGATGGGGGCAGTTCCATTTCAAACCAAGGGAATATTACTAGCTCCTTCTTAGTAATGCCTTCTTCTTTGCACCTCAAGTGACTCAGTGATTGTTGCCTTTTATCTCTGTTGCCTCCACTAATGGAGGGGAGCTTGTCATGTCTCTCAGCTGCCTCCATTGATAGGGGATCCAATGACTTGCTAATGCTTGCATATCCTTTGCTTCTACTGATAGGGGGACCATCAACATGCCTTGCTCTTGTGCCTCCTCTGTTGCCTCCACTGCTTGTTACCAGAGATCTATCACAAAAGGAGCTCTAAAAGAAGTTGCAGAAACATACAACATCTCACCCAGCACAATCACAAAGGTTTGGAGTCTGTACAAGAATATTGTGGATCCTGTCACTTGTTCTGCTGGTAATGTTTAAAACAGAAAATGTGGTAACTCTGGTTGCAATGCAAGGCACCTGGAAGAACTAGAGACTCTAAGGAATGTTCTGCACAAAGATTGAGGTAATCTAAGAAGTCTTTTAGCTGCAACAGTCATTCCAAAGACTCTCTATTGCAGATGGCCAAGTATAGTAAACTTAGGAAGCAAAGCAGAAGTGCAGAGCCTCTGGTAACACTCAAGAATAAACTCCAACTGGTAAAATAAATAATGAACCACATTGATGAAAATGGAAAATTTGATGACTGGTTCAATTGGATTCACATCAATGAGACATGGTCTTGGTATTTGAAGAGTGCAACACAAACTATGTACCTGTTTGTCAATAAAGATGAACCAAGGTTTACCTCAAAGTCCAAGAACCAGGCTTGATGAAAAGATTTAGAATTTTGCTGTTTGTTGAGAACAAACCAGCTCAGCTTAGGTCTGTAAGTTGCCCAGGTGGTACTACTATATTCATCATGACAGGGCAGCAACTGCTTGTTATTACCCTTGCTGAGGAAGATCAGGCCACAGCAGTTCGTAATGAACAAGCACAATACTAGTGATAGTACCAAGAGCTGTAGTTATAGTTATAGTGGTAATGCTACTAGTAGTAAATGTAATTGAATAAGTTTCTGGTACTAAATGCACTCAATCTTACATAGGCCCAACATGAGGACACTCTTTCAGGACCGGCACAATAGGATCATACTGACGCTCATAGTACCATCTACCCTGCTGCTGGACACCTTGGAATTTGTACCCTACACTGCCACCAAGGCAACCAACTCCGAGACTGCAGATGCCCACAAATCATGGAACCACATGGGTTGGAGCAAGAGCTCACACAACATCCCATCCTGTTCMTAAACAGGCCCACTCAGGCGCAAAAGCATGACAGATGCTGCTCCTCCACCTACTCCCCCCTACTCTCCTTCCCCAAAACATCAAAGAGGCAGAACCAATCCACCAAAACAAACTCCACCATAAACTCCTTACCACCCAAGCAATCATCTGTACCACATCCACTGCCAAGTGGCTACAATCTACCTGCACAAAAGACACAGGCAGAGGACAACCTCACAAAAACCAGTGCATTCCTCCTTTGGCCTCCTGTCCTGGAGTTCCACAATACCTCTCCACATAGATCTTCAAGGATCCTGAAACTCTCTGGCCCACCCAGAGTGCCCCACAAGCCATTGAAGTCCTCACCATTGCCAACATGATTTCCCAACCCAACCAAACCAGCAATGACACACCAGCCCCCCTTTTGTCCCTCCCCACCAAACAAAAACACACAACCTCCACTGAATGAACATCTACACCATGATAACAAACTCACTCAAGTCAACCACATCACAAGGTAACCCCACCAGCCTTGTTACCCTTTCCACCTCATAGGCTGGGCTGGGATCCCAACACACACCTCACCACGTTCCACACCCAGACCAACCATGCTAGGGAACAAATCCTCAAGTCCAAAAAGGGCTCAGAAACCAAAGTGGAATACTTCTTCACTAATTCCCTAATTCTCTGTTTCCCCAAACTCCAATGCTTCCTCCTCCATGACTGAACAAACAAGACCACTAAACTCTGTTTTGCCCCAAACCCCAACCCCCAACCCCCAGGCAATTGCACTGGCTTCCTCACCCCCATGAGTTTTGTTGCCTACACCACAAAAAATCTCAGCTATGAAACACTGACACCTCCTAAAAGTAGAAGCCACCTCAATCAGCACCACCAATGTCATGCAGGCCAAGCTAAACACCTCAACTGTCCCACTCATGATATACAAAGTCATCAACATCATTGATGCCCAGGTCCACCAGGTTCTCATTGTCCTCTTCATGCACCACTGTTCACATGCTTTGGAACTGCAAAAAGTGCATGACATCCTCCAAGCTAACAATGCCTACCTCAACAAACTCCCAAACTTCCAATGGGATAAAAAAAATCTTAAATTTATCTTTAGCCTCGTGAACTAGAATAGGCACTAGGAAGGCCAGAACCATTGCTGTCGTGAGAAAGAATGCTTCTAGCTGCTCTGAGGGGCGGCGCCTCCCTCCGAGGAGGTTTAATGGAGGGGCAATTAGAAACTTCCAATGGGATATTGCCACCAAGCTGGTGTGGTGGCAGCTAAACATTGCAACAAAAGCCTTCTTCTGTCATATGATTACCATGGAGACCAACCTCATTGCAGGCAATACTACAGTAGTAGGAAGGACCTTCTTGTTTGGACCAATATACAGGGAGGGGGGAATTATACGTCCCCTGCATTGATTGGGCAGCAGAATCTAAATCCCCTGCATTCTTGAGTGGGTGGAAATCTACGTTCCCTGCATCTGTTGGACATAATCTACATCCACTCTGTTGATTAGGAAATCTGCATCCCCTAATTGGATTGGGGGAAAATCTACTTTCCCTGGGTTGATTAGGTGGAAATCTACTACAACTCCTATGTGGATGGGGGGGAAATCTACGTCCCCTGCATTGATTGTTTGTAAATCTACATGGATTGAGGGGGAGGAATTCTACATCCCCTGCATTGATCGTGCAAACTTTGACAGGTAGGTTTGTCCAGATGGGAATCCTGTTGTCCGTAGGATATCAGACCGTGGGTATGATTCATA